GGTCACATGCAGATCCCAGGGTGCTGCCTGTCCCGCGCATCGTCCCGGCGAAGCATGAGCAAGTCCGGCTACAGCTCCACAACGCGCTTGAACAGCGCTCAGGAGCACGGACAGAGCTTCTCCTCCCCCCAAGATGTCACTCCTACGTCAGATGCAGCCAGAGGCTCCCAGCGCCGATCGCACCCCGCCTCCCAGCCACTTTCCCTGCCAGGCTTCTGTCGGGCACCCAGCCAGAAAAACAGAAAATACTGGACATTGCACATGTCCAGTATTTTCTGAATTGTTTTTACTGGACAGAGGGCCCAAAAACCAGACTGCCTGGTTGAATACCGGACACCTGGCAACCCTAGGTATCCTATAAAACTTAATTTACTATGTCAGACAACATACGAACTACACTACACTAATATAAAAGTGTGTATTTGTAGAGAAATGGGGGATATTATTAGGATTTTCTTCTCTTACTGTATTTATACCAAGTATTTAACAGTGAACTAGACTCAAATCTCAAGATAAGTACTGAAGCTTCTCTGCATGGTTGGAAATGTAATCATTTTGATTTCATGCTTGGGAAAGAATTTTCAATATGCTCAAATGGTTACACTTCTAAGGGTTAAAACTTCATCTGTAAGCAGTTTAATTCCCCTTGTAAGATTTGTTTCGTTTGTGTTTGTTCAATTCTTTCCTAGAAACGACAGCAGTAGTATGCTGTAGAATTTGGTTTTAGTTACTGTAAATATTTCAAACTACTATTTTTGTTTTTAAGGGTCTGACCATGCGCTTCAACTTACAAGCTGGGATTAATATGCCCCCTACCAATTTCAATTCTCAAACTCCATATATTCCGTTCAATTTGGGAGCATTGTCGGCAATGAGTAACCAACAACTGGAGGTAGGTAGTGAAATCCAAACGGCACAGTGTGTCTACACTGCTTTGAGCATGTCTCAGATACTCAGATTTAGTTAAAAATCAGTAATTTGAATTTTTTTTAAATATCGTCATAGTTAATGCCTTCTAATAAATGTCAAATTTTTTAAAAAAGTAGGTTTGTGATATATCTGTTTTGTTGAAATCTACTAACTTGTGTGTGCATATTGAAATGCTTATACCACCCGTGTATCCTGATAACTGAAAACAATCACTGGAGCATATGTATATATTAGGGACGTACTAGTTCAGTTTAAAACAATAAGTAATGTTGAATGCAGTCATAGTGAGCTGTGAATGTGACAGTTGCAATAATATTACAGTGCCAACTACAAAAGTTTGTTAGGTGCAAAATTTGTCACTTTAGTTTAGCAGTATTTTGATAATCTAAAAAGCACTTAATAAGCAGATTGTTTTCAGTTGACTTGTTTGTATTTTCTGTTCATTTACATTCCTACAAAGGATAATCATGCGTGATTTTTATTTCTGTCCCATTACCCAACCTGGGGTGTTCACTTGTGTGTAAAAGTTTCAAATGTAGTTACCAAATTGGGGCCAGAGAATAAACATTAGACATTTCTAAATGTGTTGACATCTTAATCTATTGCTTTGAACCTACCCTTTATAATTCATTGTCTGCTATTTTCTCAGGATCTCATTAATCAAGGAAGGGAAAAAGTTGTGGAAGCAACCAATAATGTAACAGCAGTAAGAATTCAGCCCATTGAAGATATAATTTCAGCTATAGTAAGTAAAATAGATGTTAATGTGCATTTATTTGGTCACAAGCTGGAACAATATTAAGCAGTGTCAAGCAAAGAAGTGATGATTGTAAATAGTCATCCAGTTTACTGTCACATGATTTTTTATTAATAAAGCAGCTTTTAAAATTAGTGCTGATTTCTGTTAGCACTACTAGTATGAAGTGGGGTAATAGCACTTATCTGCCTAGTAGAATCTTGCAGAACCAGTGATTAGATCCCATAGCCCCATGTCAATATTATTTACCATAAAGTGAAAATGCTGGCTCTCTCCAAATGAGACTGATAGGCTCTGCTGAGTATTATTTCCCTTGTTTTCTTCTCAATATATTTTTCATTTTAAAAAGAAAATCTAAAAAAGTATGTTTTCATTGGTAATATAAAGATCTAACAACTTTTTGTTATAAAACTGTGCTTCCCCAGAATATTTACTGGGAACTGGGCTGTTGTTCAACATCAACTATATTGATGCATCTCTGAAAACAATTGGGAGAACCTTTCTATCAGAGTGACTAATAAAATGGTTTTTTTTCCTTTTCAGTGGAAGGAAAATCTGACCCTGACAGAGACCCAAGTACAGGCGTTGGCCCTAAGTAGGCAGGCAAGCCAGGAGCTTGATGTTAAGCGCAGAGAAGCAATTTACAATGATGTCTTGACAAAACAACAGATGGTAAGAATGCTTACTGACTTTTATCTAGCTATATTTATTTGAATTGGGGACTGTGAGTGATGCCCACCTGAACTAGCAAATGATATTAAAGATGTTCTTGCAGAATACCAGCTTCTTATCAGTCCCTTGGACCCAGTAATTTCCAACTGTGTTTTGCTCCTCCACGTCAGAAAGTGATGGGTCATATAATGTTTGACTAGCATTGCTCAGTTATGGAGATGTCATGTAAAATAAATTTTAAACTACAGTCTCCCAAATTCGATTATTATTTCATGTATTTGAAGTGGTTGAAGACTACGTGGCTTAAAGAAAACTAAATAACTGGTAATAGGCAGTGGCATATGACACAGTCTCCTTAAAAATGTTAACTTTCTAATCATGTGAAACCTGCATCTCTTCAGTATGGTTCAGTTTACAGCAATTTAGTTCTGTGGGAGAACAAATCAAAAGCACTTTTCCATGCATTTCATCTTCCTTAAAACAAGTCAGAAACCAAAACAATCCATCTTTCTAAAACCTTTCTCATTGCTCTTTCCTGGTGTGTACTTTGCCATTTACACATAGTGGAAAGTTCTAACTCCAGGCACCAAGGAATTATCTCATATAGAATGCACATTACTTTGAAAGTTATGTTAAGTTATCTTAAGAAATCTGAAACTTTCCCAATATGGGTTACTCCAACTGGAAGTGTTCTTTATTGTTTGTCATTAAATGTTTGTTTGCCCATTAACTTTTAGGATTTTCAAAGGGATGATTAATGATACCTGATAACAAATGCTGTAACTAATACATGGGAGTAATTTCACAGTATAGTGCATATCACTATGGCAACTAACATAAATGCTACCTACAGTACAATAGGCAAGTCATTAGGAGAACTTAGTCCTAAATGGTGTTACTAACTGGTTTCTACAGCAATCAGCTTGTGAATGCCATTGCGTTAGCGATGGTGATAACAATAATGCTTTTTCCTTCAGCCATGGTACCCCTAGCAAATTGATTTTAACTCCAAACTTGATACTTGCTGCATTGAGACAGGTCATGCACTTGTAACAGCTCCACTTTCCCTCCACACAGTTAATCAGTTGTGTTCAGCGGATACTTATGAACAGAAGACTACAACAGCAGTACAATCAGCAGCAGCAGCAGCAAATGTCTTATCAACAAGCAGCAATGAGTCATCTCATGATGCCAAAGCCTCCAAATTTAATCATGAATCCTTCCAACTACCAGCAGATAGATATGAGAGGAATGTATCAGGCAGTTTCTGGTGGTATGCAGCCACCGCCATTGCAGCGTGCACCACCCCCAATGAGAGGCAAAAATCCAGGACCTTCCCAAGGGAAATAAATGTGATTTTGCACTAAAAGGATTGTTAAAATCAGAGAAAGAACTTTTATTTTTTTAGGAATCAATGGCTTAACAGAACTCAACTTCATAAATTGGATCCCTAAATGCCATGTTCCATATTAATGTTTCAACTGTGTTTAATTTTTCCCTCTCGTGTCAGTGATGTTGCCTAGAATTTTCTTACATGTGTTGAATACAAGAAATATTAAATTGTTTTCAGTGAAAACAAGTCCTTCTATAATAGTAGCAGCTCGCTCCACAGTTTTATTGTCTAAAGTCCTATGCTTGTTTTTAGTAACCATAAAACCATACCAAACATGAGAAACTTAGGAAATAATACAGATCTGTATGTTTCAGTATGCCATATATAAAATATACACAGCTGAGTTCTTGATTAGAGTTGATTCCTCAAATTATGGAATACTTTTCTACTTAACCGTTTCTTAAACTTCGCAGGTGTGATAAGACAGAAAGAAATGATCTAGTTTCCTTTTGACTGAAGTCTAGACTCATGCTACATTATCTGTGCTGAATAAAACATAGGAACTAAAAATTCTCTTGAGACAAAATTGAGTGCAATATTCTTAAATACTACAGTTCTGAACTTTGTCATGCAGTTATTTAGAAACTGTGTATACAGCCTTAAACCATGACTTGAGAAGAGAATTTTTTCTTCTCTAGTCTTTTGCCACTTATTTTCAGTTTGTGATGGAATAACTGGTAAATTTAATTTGACGGGGTTTTATCCCTCACACGTTATTTCACTCTTTTCTGACTCTGTTACAAAGCACATTTCTGTTAACTCCTTGATGCTGGTGCTAGTGTCTCTTCCCATTGCTGGCAATGGGCTATGAGCCAAGAAAATCAAATTACTGGTATTTTGGAGGTTAAGATATGGGTGGTTGTTAGGGTCACTCCCTGTTTTATAAACAACATCAAACTGGCAGACCCAGTACTGACTTTAAATTGAATGTGCTTTAACAATTTCCAGTGCTGCCAGAATTGTGAAATAATTTTCCTTGTATAGATAAGGATCTCTGCCTACCATGATCTTCTCTCTACCCATTCTTTCATTTTTGTAAGAATATATCTTAATACAAAAATACCTTGATTTTTTTTTTTAAAATCTAGACCAAGGTAAATTTCTGATTCATTACATGTCATTAACACCTTCATTCCCAACATTTTAATAGGATAGTAGCACTGTTTTGGGGCTTATGATGATCCAGTTAAACACACACAAGGCTTTTCTTTGCATAGCCTTTTGCTGATACATACTGTTTTTAAAGGAAAAACATTTTTAGAATATTGGAGACAAATTTAATGACAGGAATATTTGAGGTGATACTGTATCAGGTATTTTTGAGAAATGAAAGCTGGATGGAGGGAATTGCTGTAAATATCACTGTTCTCACATAATTTGCTGACATCACCTAGAAGTGTTTTGGTTTCTTGAATCACTCTTTGAAGGACTTTTTTTTGAGATTTTATGTGCTCAAAGGACAAGTATTTCAGCATCTAAAATATATAAATCTTGAGAGAGATTTCATTTGGGGATTGAATTTTTGTTTGTGTGATATGACTAGAATTTGTTAGGTCTGCAAAACCAGCTGACAAAATTGTTTTGGATTTTTTTCTGTTATGAGACATCTCAAGAAACCTCCTGTGTTCTAATCCTTTGTCAGCTCCATAATCAGATTTATCTAATTTGTGGAACAAGGGAGCTAAAAAAGGTGCATTCACTTTAGAAGAAGTTGAAAAAATTAGACTTTTTGAGAGAGCATTTGAATGGAAATGTATTCCGGGCAACTGTCACTGATATTCCAGCATGTCGTGAATAAGACATATGTTCTACCAGACTTGGGAATTTTCAATGGTGTTCTATGATAACTCACTCAAAGACTTAAATGTGGAAGTTTTAGGCAACATTTGAAGGCACATTTTTCCACCATGGACAAAACTACGGATAACAGAAGACTAATGCATAAGAAGATTAATCAGAGATAAAAAGCATTGAAATAAAACTTGGACCACTTTGTATACACGTTCCTCACTTGACATTTTAGCTGCATAATGTGTGTATAACATGAAGCTTTAACAAATATTTAAAGACAGAACATTACATCAATAAGGTAATAAAAGGCTCATTTTTATATTTGTTTTAGATGTTTTAACTAGTTGAAATGGCTTAAAATGATGAATAAAAATGTTGCTTGTAATACAGTTTTGCCTGCTAAATTCTCCCCATTTTGTAACCTGTTTATTCCTTTGGATGTAAAGCGTTTTTGCTTAGTATTGTGATATTGTATATGTTTTGTCCCAGTTGTATAGTACTGTTTCAGTCCATCAACCAGCTTTGGCTGCTGAAATCATACAGCTGTGAAGACTTGCCTTTGTTTCTGTTAGACGGCTTTCAGTTCTGTATAAATATCTTAAGTACTGTAGAAAAGATGTCACCTCTTCCTATAAGGCTGTTTTGTAATATATATATAAGGACTGGAAATGTGTTTTTAAAAAGAAGCATTCAAGTATGACAATATACTATCTGTGTTTTCACCATTCAAAGTGCTGTTTAGTAGTTGAAACTTAAAACTATTTAATATCTCATTTAATAAAGTGACCAAGATACATAAACGTGTGTGGTGCTGCATTTTTAACATGCAATTAGATCCATAATGTTTACAATGCATGAGGAATTTGTCATTTTAGAAATAACAAACTTTTGGTTGTGAGTGGAGCATTAACTGACACATTTCTCTGGTATAAACAGTTCTTCACATGTTTAGCTCAGGATACAGGAAGAATATGATAGTTCCAGAAGTATTAGCTTCTAAAGAAATAGCTCCTGCCTTTGGAGATTCCCTGGAGATTGATGTGGCACTCGGGAGCTCTGGAGTGCCACATGACCACTAACCCCTAGATGTTGGAAGAGAAAAATACTGTAACCTCATGATGCATTATCCAGAAGAATCTCTGCAAATGGATCTATCGCATCTTTCTGGGATTTTGATCAGAGTGCAAGAACTATCTATTTTGCTCAATAATCAGATTAATTTGTAATATAAAGAGACATTGTTCAAACTGAGATGGGGAGGGGGGTAGCAGATGAAGTTCTTGTTGCTAAGAGGTGCTGAGCTCTTGAAACTCAGTGGCTGTGTCTAGACTGGCAAGTTTTTCTGCAAAAGCAGCTGCTTTTGCAGAAAAACTTGCCAGCTGTCTACACTGGCCGCTTGAATTTCCGCAAGAACACTGACGATCTCATGTAAGAAATCAGTGCTTCTTGCGGAAATACTATGCTGCTCCCGTTCGGGCAAAAGTCCTTTTGCGCAAAAGGGCCAGTGTAGAAAGCTCAGATTTGTTTTGTGCAAAAATGCCCCGATGACGAAAATGGCGATCGGGGCTTTTTTGCGCAAAAGCACATCTGGATTGGCCACGGATGCTTTTGTGCAAAAGCACTTTTGCACAAAAGCATCCGTGCCAATCTAGACGCTCTTTTCCGCAGATGCTTTTAATGGAAAAGCTTTTCCGTTAAAAGCATTTGCGGAAAATCATGCCAGTCTAGACGTAGCCACTGACTTCATGACAGTTGCAGGTTCTCTCATTCTCTTTAGTATAAGGCCTCTAAGGCTATGTCTACACTCACGGCTTCTTGCGCAAGTAATATGCAAATGAGGCACCATTTTTGCAGAAGAGGCTCTTGTGCCAGAAGGAGCTATCTACACTGCCCCTTCTTTCTCAACAAAAACCCTCTTGCGCAATGCTGTTATTCCTGAAAATAATCAGCATAGCGGCATTGCGCAAGAAGGGTTTTGTTGCGCAAGAAGGGGCAGTGTAGATAGCTCCTTCTGGCACAAGAGCCTCTTCTGCAAAAATGGTGCCTCATTTGCATATTTCTTGTACAAGAAGCTGCAAGTGTAGACATAGCCTAAGTTTGGTATTCTAAGTTGTATTTTTTAATATTTGCTTTCACTGCAAATATAGTTATTTTTTATTACCTACCAACTATTCAATACTAAGTGACTTTACTCAAAGCCTAATCCAATAACAATAGCCATTTATTATAGCAAAGGCTCATGCAATGTGCATCATAATTCTGACTTTTGTCTCTTCCATTGCTCCCCAACCTACAGGGAAGAATCTCCCACCTGCAGGAAAGAATCTTAACTTCTGAAATGCAGCTCTTTCTGAACCATGACAGACTAAAATTGGTGCAGAGGGCGGGTAGTCTTGTGACTAGGGAACTGAACTGGAAATTTGTTAATCTGGCTTGTGTTCCAAATTCTGCCATGACTTCCTGAGTGAATGAACATGTACTTTAACCTCTCAGTGCCTTCATTTGCTCTTGTGAATGTAAAATACAACATTTTCCTTATGTGGTACTGTACTATTTTCAAGCATGCTGTGTTTTACATGCAAAATAGTATTAGTTGGAGGAGGCATGTGAGACTGAAGCTGTAAGGGAGGAATAAAATCTTTAAATTCTTTCTGTAGCACCTGTTCAGGTGGGTATCCTCAGGACTTTGATCAAATGGAACAATGCAAAAGGAGTCCATATCTGATGACATGCATCCAGCTGCCTCCACCTTACTTTACAGAGAGTTTAAGATGAGAAATTTAAGCTTTCAACATAAGGAAACTATAAACAATCAAAATACGCATTTCAAGGGTTGTTTTTTTTCACTAATTCAAAACAAGTTTCAAGTTGAAGTATTGCAAACATTTTTTCCAATGGAACAGGAGCTGAACAGCATCCTTGGAACTTGTCTGTCCGTCAATTCATGTGTGGAATTTTCATTATGGAAATTAGATCATTGTAGGAAAAATATTTCACCCAAATGGCTTTCATGCCCCTCTAATGATTTCAGAATCCATCTGCAATTCTTGTGAAAAAGACTACGAGCTACAAGAAATACTGGTGGAATGTAAAATACAAACACTCCTAACATATTTAGAGGTGTAAAAGTTATATTTGATTACATTTGACTGACTGACTGACTTCTGATTTAGGTACTGAGAATTGGTTGGTTCAGTGATGACTCAGAGAACAAAGGTAAATACAGGCAGTCCCCGACTTACGCGGATCCGAATTACGTCGGATCCGCACTTACGAACGGGGCTTTCTCGCCCCGGAGCTCACAGGCAGCGGTCAGCCACCTCGAGCTCCGGGGCGAGAAAAGCTGCTCCCGGTGCCCCTGGTCTGCTGGGGACCGTCTCCAGCAGACCAGGGGCATCGGAAGCAAACCCGCAGCAGCGGGGGGGTCCCGCGCTTCTGAGGCTTTGCTAGAGCAAAGCCTCAGAAGCACGGGAACCCGCCGCTGCTGCCGCTTCAGTCCGGGTGCCTGTGGTCTGCTGGGGACGGTCCAGAGCAAAGCCTCAGAAGCGCGGGAACCCGCCCAGTGCCCCTGGTCTGCTGGAGACGGTCTCCAGCAGACCAGGGGCACCGGAGCAGCTTAC